GCATGTCATTCTCTTTGCATTTGCAGGTGAGTGGGCAAAGTCCTAGGAATCTCACCATCCATGAGACTAAGGCTCAAAATTGAGAGTATGAAGCCAGCCTTTTTCCATTTCAAGCTCAAGGCCAGCCTGAATTTTATAGCAAAAGGTTCTTTCAAGTAAACAAAACAAAATAAAACAAAAAAAGACACTCAAGAGATATTGAAGCTGGGTGTAGTGGTGTATGCTTGTAGACTCAGTGCTTGTGATTCTGAAGCAGGGGGATTGCCATGGGTTAGAGGCAAGGGTAGGCTTCATTGTGAGACCTTGTCTCAAAAAAGAATAAAGAAAGAAAAAAAGGAAAAAGGAAAGAGAGAAAGAAAGAGATAGAGTGAAAGCAAAAGAAAGGAAGAAATATGGAAATAAAGAAAGAAAAGAAAGAAAGAAAGGAAGAAAGAAAGAAAGACAAAGAAGAAAACTTAAGTATTCAGTGAAACAAAGCAACCTTAGGACACTTGAGTTAAACCCGTTTATGAAGACAGTGAACCATGTAAACAATATGACAAAAATATCCTAGTACTTCATAATAACAAACAAACAAACAGAAATCTCTTAATACTAAATGTGACTGAATAGCTTTTTAAAGTAAAAAAAAAAAAACAAAACAAAAAACTAAATGAGAACCTCAATATAGAGACCTGGATGCGCTGGAGCCTGCGGGATGGATCAGCTTGGTTTCCACCTCACCGTCTTCTTTCCTCAGCCTCCTAGAGCTGTGGTAATAGATTTGAGCCAACACATTCTTCTTCTCTCTGGTATTTTGCCTTTCCTAAGACAAGCAGTTTCAGGCATGCTATTGTATACCTGTAGTTCTAGCACCTGAGAAGCTGAGACAAGACAATTTCTTTTTTTTAATTAAGAAGATTCTTGAAGCCTACCTGAGATTCATAGTAAATTCTATTTTTATCAGTGCTGAGGATTGAATTCATGTCCTCCTAATTGCAAGGTAGGTGCTTATGCCACTGAGCTAAATCCCCAGCCCACATAGTAAATTCTTGTTTCAAAAAACCTGAAAAAAACATAAGCAAGCAAGCAAACAAACAAAACCCAAATAAACAAGTGAACCAAGGAAAAAACACACACACACACACAAAAGGGAAAACACCGCACCATGCCAAGGATGTTGGCATAATGTCTATAATCCCAGGATTTGGGAGGATGAGCAAGAGATTCAGCATGCATTAAGGGTCACCTTAGTGAGGTGAAGGCCAGCCTGAAGTAAGTAGCCGGACTGTGTCTCAAAGACGGGGCAAAACAAAACAGAAAACCTCAGAAAAGACATATCCTCATGGAAAAAGAGGCACCATGAGGCTGGAATTCACCTTCAAGGCTAAAGTCAAAGGCATCAGGCCTCAAATAAATATGAGTTGGGGGAAGAGTATGTGGGATGCTACCTCCATCATGGGCCTCCTGAGGATGACCCAGGACAACCTAAGACCTACAAAGTTGGGAAAAAGCTGTGGGAGAAGGTTTGAATGTTTGCACAGCAAATTTAGAACTAAAAATGGGCAGTTGTATGAAAGAACATGGCAAGTATCCCAGAGGGGCAGTGTGATTTTCTGCATGGAAGAAATTCTGGCTTTATTTGTCCCCAGAAGGGCAAGAGTGTCTTATACAGGATTAGCCCAATTTTAGTTCATGAAAAATAAAACAATGTTTTCATAATTTCATAACAGGATTAAGTAGAGTGATGACAGTGATACACTGTGCATCGCTATCCCCAAACTGTGAGCAGCAGTTTGAGTCATAGTCATCTGAATTCTGTCACTTCCTTGGTGTAACTAGCTTAGTCCCTAGTCCCTGAAGCCTCCTTTTATGCTGCCAAGTGGAAAACTGTAGCCCTGCCCAGGCTAGCACAGGAGACAAGCAGAAAAGTGAAAGCACGCAAGTTCTGACCACGTGGGCTGGGATTGTACCTTGTGGGCCTCAGGCAGATCTGTGTCTTCAGCAAAGACCCTGTTACTATTTTCCATTTCCTAGATTCACTCATCTTGTTTTCCTGTCTCATCTTTTTGAGACAGGGTTTCACTATGTAGTTCAGCCTGGCCTTGGACTCACTTTGTAGATCACACTGGCCTCAAACTTGCAATCCTGACTCAGGCTCCCAAATGCTGAGTCCCAGGTGTTTCAAGCATTCCTGGCCTGGCCTCTCAAATTACACATGATTCGCAAGGAGAGCTGAACAGTCCTGTCCCTTGTGCATCTGATCCTAACAGCTGGCCAGTTAACATTGTACATTTTCTAGATTGGCATATCTTTTATTTTATGTTTACAGTTTTACTCCAGCTTGCTACAGATATAATCAGAACACAACAATCCACAGACACTCTAGTGTCTTGATCACTTTTATTTCACAAATAACTGGCAGACCACATGTCTCCACCCCTATGCCCAAAGTGCCAAGGATTTTGGGGATCTGCAGGGAAAGCTCTGCACCCTCCTCTCCTGAGTAGCTGTTGCAGGTGGCCTCTGAGGAAACAGGCACAGTCCACCTAGAGCTACTGTGGGCAGTCTGCTCTCCAGAGGTGAAGAATGTGTTGATCAACATACTCTGCAGTGCATATCGCGTCCTGTAATACCCATTAGTGAATGAGCAAGTTTTTGAAGATTTCTCATCTGGCCCAGTTAAGGAGCCAATGATGCCAGGTGTCTCACACCCAAGAAGTGGCACACTTCTACTTCCTGAACACAGTTCAGCTCAAACATCTTGAGGGCTTCCAGGAAGGTATCAAAAGGCATCTCATAACCCTCCGTCTTCTTACAGCACAGGTGGACCAAATATCTCTCTGCTGGACCCAATCAAAAGACAGGTTTGGAATCCACTGAGGGTCCTGCTCTTGCTGAAAAGCTCTGTCATTACCTTCACCATATGGTCATCCACTTTCTGGTCCCTGCGTTCATTATCTGGTGTCCAGGTACGAGCCATGGCTCTGAGCCCCACAGTCCAGAAGTCCTGGTGCATGTTCCCCAGATCCAGCGCCTGCAGTTTCCACCTGCTGTGGATGAAAAGGGAGGCAGACCCTGAACTGAGGAAAGACTCAACTTCCAACCTGGGCTTCTCTTCTGCTTTCTGTGTATCAGCAGCTCTTTTAGTTTTCTTGCCTTCCTTTTTGTACCCTTGACATATAGCAAATATCCTGGTTCCACTTCTAGTCCCTGCGGCAGGAGGCAGGTTCAGGCTCCTCCCATGATCTGCATGGCCAGCACACACAGCTTTGCAGTCAGGAGGCCTCTTCCCAGATGGTGCTCAGCCATGGCCATGGTCTCTGTGAGCCTCTTGTCATAGCAGCAGCTGCTGCCCACACCTCTGCCCTCCCATTCTCCATGATCCCTACTGTTCTTCCCCCTGCTCCCTGTGCCCTCCCTCCAGAATACCTGGCCCATGCTCCCCTGGGACATCTCTTTCGGGCAACAAGTGTATCTAGCCCATCCAGCACAACTCTCCATGTCTGTAAGTTCTTCTCATGCTGGAGCTTTACAAATTCAGGTTGTGAGCTCACTAATTTCCTCATTTCCAGCAAGAACCCCAAAGGGAGGCAGGGGAACACCCAGGCATGCACCATCACATTCAGGATCTCATTTGAGTCTCCATGAATGTGTCCATAAATATGTCATGGGAGATCAGGGTGAGAAGGCCCTGAAAAGCAGTGCATGCTGTGGTCTCACTGTTGAGCATGTTCTGCTTGACAGTTCATAGAGTAGCAGTGCACTCATTATGATGGATCTGCAAGAACAAGCATCCTGGGGACATCCAGGAAGAAACATCTGTTGAGATTGAGCTCAGGAGACTCCTTGTGATCCAGTAGGCCAACTCTGGACCAAAGTCTCTGACTTGTCTCTGGTGGATGCCTTCTCTATTTGCACCTAGATCTCGGTGCTTGATAGTCTCAAAGCCACACATTTGCTACTGTGAACTCCAGGATACTCCTCTCCCATCCACTTCCAACCATTAATTCTCTTTACTCCAACCCCTAATGCAGGTGGATATGAAATAACAGCTGTGTGCAGTGTGGGAAAAATATTTTAATCACTACTTCAAGGCCCCCAAATAATATCAGTGGAATTATTATATGGGCACAACATCTTGCCTTCTCTCGTTCTAGGTAGACTTTCCTAAGTGGCAGTATTTTTATGTTACAAAATTGAAGAAACAAGTGTCAAAGGCATGTAACATTATAGAGTATTCATGGCCTTCTGTAACAGGCATGTACATGAGTTCACCTCCAGAAATATCCAAAGGAACTCTACTCGAGAGACTTAGTGTCTGAAGTGCACTTCATTTTGACAGTCTTTTGGATTAACAAGAGAAAAAGAGGCACGGAATAGTGAATGGAAAATATCTGAGAATAATAGCCCACATCTTTCGTCATGGCACTCTTGATGATTAGCACAGAATATTGCAAGTATTACCCCAACCCAGACAAGTTAGAAGGAATTTGTCTGGATACAAAAATATTTTCTAGGTGTCCTTCATTGAGACCCTAAGATGGCTCCCATGTAACATGGGTGTATTGGAAAGACAGAAAAGCAAAGAATCCTGGAGGTAATTCATCACTAGAGAAAGCAATTTAAGAATGGGAGGGAATGAATACTATGGAATATCTCCATTAGCTGCTATGAGTTCTTAAGGCCAGACCTCATTGATCAGAAAGCTCAGGGCTTTTTTTCAGTTACTGAGATTCATGAGCTCTAATTTGGAAACAAGGTAACATGTCATGGAGGAAACCAGATAGTTCACAGGCAGCTCACTTTATTTCTGATCATTCCTTTATATTAACCCATACATTCATCTCAAGCCTTAATTTATATCTAGAAAGTCAAATTCCCATTTCTGATCTTGCCTAACATCCAGGTCTGCACAGGTCACTTCCCTTTTCAAACCAAAAACCAAAGTATTCTGCAAGGTAGCTGCTGATTGTTATGTTATTTGCCCTTTCTCAGTCAGAATGAACTCAAGGCTCTGTGCTCCTGAATCCCAGAAGGAAGAATAGTGTGTGAGGGTCGCACTAGATAGCTACACAAGATGAGCATGGAGCAGTGTGCAGTTTACAGATGTCCCAGTTTGAACAGATGCCACCATGAACAGCACAAACTCAGATCACCCTGGGATGGTTCAATGGCTTCACGGCCCTCCTTAGCACCTCCCACATATGGTTCAGGCTCAGTGGGTGGACATAATTCCAGGGATTTTAAACTTCTTCAGGACGTGAGTACAACTCCAGTGTTAAGTTGCTCAGCCTGGCAGTGTGACACAGCAGGCTCTCCAGGCTGGCTAGAGACATGGAGTTCCTCATGTAGCTGAAGGTAGTTAGCTGGGAGCAGTAACTTAAGGCAGGCAAAAAGTCCAAGAACTCAACTTCCATGATTCCACAGACCTGCAAGTGTAGGGTGATCAGAGTGGCTCCAATGTTTTCCAGGAGAAATCTGAGGGGATCAAGCTTACGAGTCAGGTCCAAACCATACAGAGCCAAGTGTTTCAGGTGTCTGATGCTTGGACAGTGCGGCAGCTGGTTCCAGTCGGAGTCTGAAAGCCAGCAGTAACTTAACTGGAGGGTCTCCAATGGTGACATCAGACACCTACAGAGAGACCAAGCAGTTAGATTCAGCCGTTGGAGGGGAAAAGGACTGGTTCATAGGGAACAACTCCAAGGAAATCCTGGTGTCATTAGAGTCACCCCAATTTAAACTGAGGTCATTTCCCATTACTAGTCTCTGATGTTGCCTTTGCTTTCTCCTAAGCAGAAAACAACAGCTCTTTTCTGTTGAGGGGAGAAGGAGACAGGCAAGAAGGAAAAATCATTGAAGGACTAACCACATCCATTGCGATGGCTAAAAAGGCTGTCAGCTGAGGCTGTGAACTTGTTCCAGCCTTGCACTGTTGTTTGCCATCAGTTTGAGACTCCTGCACTTCACCGCTGGTCATTACCCCACCTGGCATGAGAAGATTCTGATCCTGACTGCCACAAGGATAAGAAAACACTGGGCATTGCTCAGCCTCACTGACTGCAGATGGAGGGGATGGGGAGGCAGCAATGGAGGGAGCACCAAGGCCCTGTCTCCTCCCACAGACACTAGGAGTAGAGACTGGACTGGATCCAAGGCAGGAAGAGGAAATGGGAAGAAGACTAGCATCACACAGAAGAGTGGAGGAGAGGGAAACCAATGTCTGGGATGAGGAAGGCACAGGGGAAAGAAGGGTGACATCCAGCTGAGGTTGTGAAGCTTCTGATGGAGTCAAACAGCAGCCTTTCCCAGTGGAGAACAGGATGGTGGGATCAGTGTCTCTCACACATCTCCTGAGAAAGTGGCTCACACACTGAAGTGTGAAATTTTGTCTTTCCTTGGTGCCATATGCCTTGTCTGCTTCTCAGCACCTCACACGTGATATGCTTTCTCAGGGAGAAAGCACACTCCTGCCCACACTGTATCTGGCCACTGACTTGCAATATCCTAGCATAGTGGCCCTTTGCAGTCCGGATATCCATGTAGAGTGGTTATCTGACATGCTGCTGTAGAAATGAGGAGTGAAAAAAGCAATGTGTTGATTCTAGTGTTTGATCTCTGTCACATATCCCGTGGTTGCACACTGTCCATATCCTCTAATGTGTCTAGAACAGACAAAGACTCTTCTGACTCTGCAGAGAGAGCTTCACATCTTACCTGAGCACCTGGTCCAGGTGGCCTTCCAGGAAGAAGAGAGAGTCCACATAAACCTCCTGCAGACAGTGAAGCTTCATAAACTGAGAAGTGATTTGGGAGTTCATCTGCTCTGTCTTCTCTGGAGAAATGATGTCAGGCATAGAGATGTCAGAGAGCATTAGTGTGTGGAGATTTTGCATCTGGCCTAAGTAAGGGGCAAAATGAGCCAGGGTGGAGAGTTCCCACCGACCCACATCCACATGCTGCACCGAATCAAGGTTGAGGCTTTCCAAGACCTGAGTGATCTTTTGAAAGCACCTGCTTGTGATCCTCAGGCTTGTACATTCCAGCTGCACCAGGCCTTCTCTCTTCTGGACCCACTGGAGGAGGGAGATTAGGAATGGATCCATGCCAAACTCACTGAGCCACAGATGTAAAATCACTTTGAGAGGCTGCTTTTTTGCTACCCTTGGCAGAGTCTTCTCTGTTTTTGTCTTCCTCCTGACTTCTGAGGAGCACGCTTCTAACTGGTTTTCAGCCCAGACTCTCCAGAAGTCCTGGTGCACGTCCCGCATATCCAGCACTTGCAATTTCCGCCTGCTGTGGGGGAACCAGGAAGGACTCTGAGAATTTGGATTGGACCCCAGTTTCTTCCTGTGATTTCTTCATCTCTGAGGTCACTTCCTGTTTTCTCTGTTCTGCAGTTTTCTGGTTCCCCTTTTCCCATCCCTACTCCTGGTGTCTGTGGAAGGAGCTAGAAACTTGTTACTCCTTTCACTGCTGTATCTAGCATTACCTGTCCTGCCCTTCTGGCAGCTCATGCCCAGGTGACTCAGCAATGCCCAAAGCTTCTCTGATCCTCCATCACATTCAGAAGCCTGCATTTCACCCTTAATCCCCTAGTCTCCCTGGCCCTTTCAATCCCTGCCTCAAATCCCGTGGCCCTCGCTGCAGGACACCTTGGTTACACTCACCTGGAACCAAGCTTCTGGCTCAGCAACACATTGAGCCCAGCCAGAACAGCTTGTAACATCCTGTTCTGCACCCAGTCAACATCCACTTGAGTGTTTAACTTCCTTGGTTTCCAGATGCTTATCAGGGCTCCCAGTGGCAGGTAGGGAAAGGGCCAGGACAGCACCATGGCCTTGAGGAGTTCAGCGTGTCCCCTATTGAAGGCCTCCACGAACACTGGTGGGAAGAGCTCCCCTGGCAAATCCTCCATGGCCCATATGGCCAAGGCCTTTTCTGTCAGCAGACTCTGAGTTGCAAGTTTCTGTAGCCTGTGTGGGAACTGGGTGCTCATCCTGGTGAATCTGGTGTGCCAGAGGTGCTGTGGAAACACTGTGGAAAGAGACATCCTTTCAGGCCAGGCTGAGACACCTATTCATACCCATCGGGAAACCAATGTGCTGCCAGAAAGTCCCTGATCTGACAAGGGTAGCAGAGACCTCAGATTGTCCAAATCGGCTTGTGCTCATGGTCCCAAAATACTGCTGCTGCCTCTAAGGGACCAGGAAGACTGTCTGCTAGTGTCCAGATGAAGCAAGGTGAGAGCAACAGACCTGTTTCCAACTGAGCACCCATTACTCTGAACCCACTGAGAAATGGGAGCCATGAAATTGGAAACTGACTCTCATGTGTTGGGGAAAAATATTCTCCTGTTCACTCCAAGGAAATGTACCCAAGAAAATGGAAAAGTCATATGGCCCTAATTTATCACTTCTGAAAAGGCTAAAACAAATACACAGACTATGAAATGAAAGTCATGAGTTTTCATTTCAATAATGATATAATAGCCCACAGCTGGCAGGATGAGGGACAGATCTGATATGTGCACATCCCTTTTTTGTTAACTTGGTCATCTATTACCTGGCAGTGGAAAAAGAGACTCAGTGGATAACCATTCAGCAGTGTCAGCAGCTGGCTTGGAAATTTCTTAGGTGAAAAACCTCTGGTTGGATAAAAATTCAGTGTACCTCGATGACACTCTGGTGCATAGTCATTTGTGATAACAGTGAAAAATTAATCATAGAAACCCCTCAGTTTCATGGAAACTTCAAATATCCTCTGCAATGCTTTATGGTGTGCGATCTACCAATAGCGAAACTAAGATCACTGTGCAGTGCTCCATGCTGCTGAGTGGCTGTTGCACTGTAACCATCTCTGGCAGATGCACCAGGATTCCTGCAACATAACAGGTTGTTATAAGGCATGTAGCTGTACCACATGTTCTCAGTTTTCATCCTCTCAAAGCCCAAAGATCCCTAAGATGCCTTCAAAGCACCTTTCTCCAGCCAGGTATGGTGGTGCCCAACTATAAAAGCAGCACTCAGGAGCCTGAACCATAAAAATCTTTGCAAGCTTGAGACTAGTTTGGGCTATAAAGTGAGCTCAAGATCAGCCTCAACAGCAATAGTGAGACCATGTCTCTAAAAGTAAAGAAAAAAAAAGAACAAAACAAAAACCATTCCCTTCACCTTCTAAGGTTTTATTAACAATATTTATAACTTAAACTACACAACTGTGGGGGAAATAGCATATTTGGGGCCTAAACCACAAAGCCAAGCACTTATAGGCTTTTTTCTGACCATATATAAAATTGATGGATTTTCACAATTCCAAAAGCTTTAGGCACATAAACTTCAAGTTGAGATTACTGTGTACTTGAGTCATAAGTTAGTGGAGCTGAAGAACAGAAAGGTGAAAAAAGTGTTTTAGTGGGGGGAACCAGAGACTACGCTCCTTGAAAAGAGGAGCCACTATCTCCATTGCAGATAAACTTGTCCCTCTCTCCCTGTATTGATATACACAGAGCTGGCTAGGCCATTTCCTTGTCCCTTTAATTGACTTTAAGCCATGTAAATTGGGCTGGCTGAACTGGTGATGTATAATATCTAAAGCAAAGGGACAGTTCATTGTTACCCCACCCAGTGACTTCCCAAATCTGTGACTGATCTCGGTGGGATGGAGAGCTGTGCTACATGCTGTGGGCTGGGACCAAACATTGAGAAAGAAGCTGTGACTTCCCAGAGCAAATAGGATTGTAAATCAGAACTGAAGCACCAACCCCAAATTGTTAGTCACTGCCTCAGCTGTGTTATGCAGATTGCTTTCTCTGCACTTCTTGCCCTCTGCTCATGGAAGAGGCTCAGGTCTCTTCCCTAGCCCAGCTCAGGGCAGCCATGCATTTCCTATCACTCTCACTGTCATTCATCCCTGAACCACTCCCTTCAGGGGGAATTGATAAGACCTGGAAAGGGCTCTGGGTGGAGGCTGCCTGCTGGGAACCACCACCTTGGCTGAGCTTAGGACCCCTTGGCTCCATATAACTATACATATGTCCCATTCTTCTTGCCAGGGGGTACACGGGAAGTGGTAAACCATAATTAACTCACTAGAATTGCAATAACTGCTCCTTAAGATTACAATTATAAACCTTCTTAGACACCAAGGGAACAGAAAAGGTTTCTCTATATTTTAGAAAGCGGGAGAGCATATGGATGAGCTTATCAGAACAGGAAAAATCTGGAGAGCCCAGTGAAGAGAAGGATGTTAGTTTGGATTGTAAAAATTTGGGTAACAGGCATTACCAGCATTCTATTGTCCACCACTGTCTCTTGTGTGGCTTTGGTCAAATGGTCAACCTCAGATTTCCTCACCTGTGAATGGGCTCACAAGTGTACCTATTCCTATCCCCCCTTTCTTGCCTTATTGGGACACAGCTTTATTATATAGTTAAGTTTGGCATTGAACTCACTTTGTAGCCCAATGTCTCAACCATCCTCCTGCCCCTGCCTCCTGAATGCTGGGATTTTAGATGTGTAGCACCACACCTGGATTCCTCATTCATTCTTTGAGGGATGTATTACTGTGATTTCCAGCTTGAACTAGGATTTGGGGTGATGGATAACAGGGAATCTGCACAGAGTCCTAAGCATCTATGCTTCTGCAATGTTTCTTACTCTCTGCCCACTTTCCATTCTCTCCTGTGAACCTGGGGAAGGTTTGTATCCCCTATTATTACCTACCCCATTCCTATTCCCAACATAGGCCTGTCCTGGTCATCCATCAAGCAGAATTAAATGACCACTGCTGTGACACTCAGCTTTCTACATCACACTCTGCTATACCCCAGTTTTCACACACCCTTCCCCAGTGGCTTCATTGTCACCCACGCACTGGGCAATGAGGACTCTGTGGTTTTTGTCTTTAGAGATGCAGCTGGAGGTGGAAGTGTAGAGGAACAAAGGCTGAGGATAGAACACACAAGAGGGTAGGAGGTGATGGACCTGAGAGGGAATGAGGCTTCCAGAGAGCTGGAGGCTGTGGAGAATTGGAGAGGGATGGACCATAAGATTTCCTCCCCTCTCCCCCTTCTCTCTTGGTGTTGCCCTCTGGGAGCTGTGTGGGTAGATGCCTTAACCTCCCTCAGTTACCTCAACGGCAAGTAGAGGATGAGTTAGCACCTTGCTCAGTAGGTCAGGATTGACTCTGGCAAACTCTGGTGTTGCCCCTTGGGATTGCTGATGTCAGCCAGGTGTGGTGGCCACAGCTGTAAGCCCAGCAGTCTGGAGGTGGAGATGGAGGGTCCCTGGGAATTTAAGGCCAACCTGGGTCGCAAAGTGAGTTTAAGGCTAACTCAGCCTAAACTACAAACAAAAAGCAAACCAAAACATGCCTTGCTCTGAGTACACGTTACATGTTTGACCCAAAACCTCAATAGAGCCCTGAAATCCATGCTGCTGTTATGAGCGTACTCATTATATATCTGATCCCTTCTTTATAATCTCTCAGAGCTACAATAGATAAAGTGAAAATCTGCTTACTACAAACTTCCAAGTCAACATAAATGTAGTTCTCTTTCTCCCTTCCTCCTTGGTCAAAGCCATTTCATGCACCACTAAAATATTTCTAGTGAGCACTGGTGAAATTCATGTATCAATAGTATTGAGCATTTTAAAATTAGGGTGGAGCTGAGTATGGTGGTGCATGCCTGTAGGCCCAGCAGTTGGGAGACTGAGGCAGGAAGATTGTTAGAGTTCCAGACCAGCCTGGTATGCAATATTAGTTGAAGGCCAGCCAGAACTGTATAAGAGACCCTGTCTCAATAAGACCATAAAGGAATGAAAATAAAGTCACCATGGAGAATACTGAGATGTAGATTCCCACACATTCTCACATGTGTGGGAATTCTCACATGTGTGAAATTTATTACTTAAAAGGAAGATAGGCATGAGATAGATTCACGTGTTTTTCTTTTACTTTATTTTTTAGGAGAAAGAGTCATGGTCTGTTGTTCAGGCTGGCCTTGAACTTCTGGAGATCTTCCTTCCTCAACCTTCCAAGTGTTAGGATTATTGGTGTGCCCCACTATACCAAGCTAATCCACTTCAAGTATTGCACGATGCTTTTTTGTGAAAAGGAACATTTGATTTATCCATTCATACCACCCCAAAGTTTGTAATCAATAATTATAGTGAACAGGAAGAAATTATTTAAAGATCTATCAGCCAGGATTTGTGGTGTATGGCTATTATTCCATCATCTATTAGACTGAGTTTTGATGATCACAAGTTCCAGTCTGGCACAAGGATCCTAGTGACTTTGTGAGAGGTAAAAACAAACAAACAAACAAACAAACAAAAAAACTATTGAAATGAAATGAGATTTTTTTCCAGCTAAGACAACATGGTGATCAGTGAGAATCTTCTCATGACACCCTCAAAACTTACCAGCTAGAGATGCCATAGAACAAATTCTTAGCTAAGACAATATGGCAACTTCGTACCTTCCAGAAACGTGGAAACCAAACAAACAAAAAACCCCCCAATAAATGGAAAAGAAAAACAACTGTAGAGTTGTCACACATCATGTAATTCCAGCACTCCAGTGGTGAGGCAGGAGGGTAACAAGTTTGAATTCATCCTGGGCCACATGAAATTTGAGTGTCAAATTTTTTCAAAATGAAACAGGCAAAGACTTTGAGATTAAGTCAGCACAAAGGCCTTGTGTTCAAATTCCAGTACCACAAAACAATAGTAAAAATTAATGCATGTAAATGTAGGTACTGGTTGGCAGGTATGGGGGGTGGAGCATGCCTGAAATCCCAGCACTTGGGAGGCTGAGGCAGGTATTGCTGGGTGTTTGAGGCCACCATGGCCTAGAGTGTTTTCAAGGGCTTCTCTTAAACACTCAAAGAAAAAAAGACATAGACATTTATATCAGAAATCAAACTTATTTTAGCTGAATGTAAATCTGCATTTTAAGATAAATCTAACCTCAAATCCATCCATGTGGGTCTAT